GAATATTTGCTAATCAGTTAAATAGAGCTGAAAACATTCTTCTAATCATTTTTCTTTGTCCAAACAAATCAACTACTCCATCTATAGTAATCCAAAATAGTTTATTACATAGCTTCAGTGTATAAAAAGACTTTTCCAAAACACAACAGCATCTGTTATTCTCTCCTAAGCTTAAACACTTCTGAGGCTCCCTATCATTTAAGAGAACATTTCTGATATGGTTCTCCAAGATATGGACTCTGCAGACCTCACCAGTCTCATGCACCACTCCTTGCTCCACAATCACTAAGCCCTCCATGTCTCCGTCTCTCCCACTCATTGCTGGGTATAGTACAACGTTAGATCTCAAGAATGAGAAGAAACTAGCAAAGGAGTCTGAAGAGTTCCGGCCAGAAGAGTAACAGGTGCCTTGAAAGCCAAGTGAAGAAGGTTGTTCAAAGAAGTCAGATGCCACTGATGGGGAAGAAAGTTTTTCAAATAAAGTCAAAAGGTGCTGTTAAAATACATAAAACAACAGAAAAAAAAAGACTAGACTCAACACAGAGGCTATTGGTGACCTTGACAGGAGCAGTTGCTCTAGAGCAGAATGAGAAGACACCACTAAAAAAAAATCAACTCTTGACGGACTTCAGTAAGATGGCAGAATAGGCAGATAAGCTACACAGACCCTCTTCAACAAAGGAAAGAGAAACCAATTGACACACATACAGAAGATAATCCTGGAGCCCTGAGCTTTGAAAGGAAGGATACAGAAGTGGATTAAACACCAACCAGTAGAAGAACATGAATGAAAACAGTGAGTAAGGAGACAAACAGAGCTGTGGACGCTCAGCTATCCTGATGGCATGGACAGCCTGAATATTTCCAAGTGGTGTTAGGACCTGAGAATTAACTTAAAAATTGGCCCTGCTCACCAAGGGCTACATGGATGACTGCACTGATGGCTGATGACTAAAAATGAAAACAGCAAAGGAGACAAACTGAGCTGTGGACTTTTCGGCTGTCTGGAGGGTGCAGCCATTTTGAATGTTTACAAGAGGTGTTCATTTTGGATACGTAAAGGGACAGCATTCTCATTCAGGTTCCAAGGACCTAAGAATAGGTTCTACTTGTCAAGGGCAGCACAGACATACAGGAGGCAGAGGAACAGAAAGGAGACAGGTAGTGAGTGCATAAGTTACTAACTAGCGAATAGAGGAGCACAGCACTGTGCTTACTCAGATAACATCCAAGCAAAACAAAGAAAACCAAAATCTTGGGTGAATCACTCCAACATACAATCACCAATTAAATATAAACACAAAAACATCACACTGTTTCAGAGTGAACAGACCATCACAGTCCACACACAGAAGATAAAGCAATAGAAACAAGGGACCAGGATACAGACCCAGAACACATCCCTGAAGAAGAAGCAGTATTGGAACTCCCTGATAAGGAATTCAAAAGAATTATATTTAGGTACCTTCAGTGGATTGAGAGAGAGATCAAGGAAAACACTGAGAAAATCGAGGAAAACATAGAACAATTTTGGAAGACAATACAAGAACAAAATAACAAAATAAATGAACAATTACAAATTATACAAAATCAACAGATAGAAATCCAGAAGATTAATACTAAATTTGCAGAAATCAAAAACACACTGAACAGGCAAAGGAGTAGAACTGAATCAATGGAAGACAGAATTACTGAGATTAAGAAAAATATCTCAATACTTCTTTGGAAAGTGAATAATCAGAAAAAAGATCAAAACAAAAGGAAGAAAGCCTAAGGTTCAGGTGGGATACTATCAAAAGGAATAACCTACATGTAATCAGAATTCCAGAACAGCAAGAGACAAAACCACAGAGAAAATTGCTGAAGATTTGTTGGAAGAGAATTTTCCTCATATGATGAAAGACAAGAATATATCCATTCAAGAAGTCCAACAAACCCCAAACAGGATAGACCCCATAAGAAAATCACAAAGACATATCATCACCAAAAGTCAAGGAAAGGTTTATATTTTCTTTGTTGGTTACCAAGGGTGGGAGGGGAGGGGAGGGAACACTGCTAGATAGGTAAAGACACGTATTGATTTGGGTGAAGGGAAGGGCAATGTACCAAATTGAGTGACCAATAAGGTGGCACTGAAGAAGAGGAAGACATAGAGAGGTGCATGGGAGGTACAGACAACAAAGATGAACCATTCTGCACATACAGTACATTGTCAGTGATGGCAAACACTGATATATGGCTGGGTAGATGGGTGGACAGGCTGAAAGATTAGGTATCTCTATGAATTGAGGAGAGTGCCCATGACCATATATACCAGAGGTGGCAGACAACATGTCTACAAATGTTATTTGTATGTTCTGTAAGAATTTTAGGTATACAGTAGAGCTGACAAAGGACAAGGTTGTAGTCACTTCTTGGCCAAAGCCAGAGGGAGCAAATGGTTGGACCTGAGGGCTCGGGACCATGGTCACAGGGGACATCAAGCTCAACTGGCATAACATACTACACAAAAACATTGTTCCATATCCTACTTTGGTGAGTAGCGACTGGGATCTTAAAAGCTTGCAAGTAGCCATCTAGATGCAACGATGGGTCTCTCCTCATCCAGAGCAAAGAATAATGAAGAAAACCAAAGACACATGGAAACAATTAGTCCAAGGGACTGGCACACCATGTGATCCTCAGCCTATATGACTATGAGACCAGAAGAATTAAATTGGTGCCCAGCTACCACTGTCAACCACTTGGAGGGGGATCTGTGTAGGAGATCCTGAATAGAGTGGGAGAACAATGTGGAACAAAACTCAAAACCATAAAAAAAAGGGGGGAGGGAGACCAGGCTTGCTGGTCTGATAGAGCCTGGTGGAACCCCTGAGACTAGGGCCCCTAGCTGCCCTTCAGGTTTGGAATTGAACCTACTCCTATGGCTTCCAGCCAAAGACAGCCATATGACCTGAACATTTGCATTAAGTAGATACACTCCTTGGAGACATCAATCATGGAAGAATAGAAGGGGCTGTGAATGCACAGGGACATAACTTGAGGGATAGGAGTGCATGGGAGAAGGGACACAGGGCAAAGGTGGCTATGGGGAGGAAGTGGGAGGAGAGCTGTTGTATTGTGGGAGATTATAGTCAACTTCATGAAACAAAGTATATGTGAACTGCTGTATGAAAGATGAATTTGCTCTGCAAACTTTAACCCAAATCACAATAAAATAAAATAATTTTAAAAAGACATATCATCATCAAAATTAAACCAAAGACAAAGAAAGCAGCACAGAAAAAAGAAAAGTTACCTACAAAGGGCAAGCAATAAGACTAAGCTCTGATTCCTTGGCAGAAACCATGCAGGCAAGAAGGCAATGGGATGGTATACATAAAACCCTGAAAGAAAAAAATTTCCAACCAAGAATTAGACACCCAGCAAAACTGTCACTCAAATATGATGGTGAAATTAGGACATTTCCAGATAAGCAGAAATTAAGGGAATTTTTAAAATCAACCCAATATTACAAGGGATCCTAAAGGCAGTCCTTTGGACAGAGAACCAACAAGAGCAAACAACAACTGACCATAAACACATATGATAACATAACCCAGAAACCAACCCAGTTATGGAAGTATCCAAAGTAAATAAGCCTATAAGATTGTAAGCAGGGAACCAGAGACATCAATTGGCAAATGAAGACAACTACAAACCAAAAAGAGAGAAAAAACCATGTAGTTACAACTTCTAAATGGTGAGGAAGTCAAGAATATTGCAAGATAGAATGGAGTGTTCTAAGCTTGGGAAGAAAATTATAACCTCAAAGAAAACTTATAAACTTTCACATCAAAATAAAAAAGAGGTCAAGCATAAATATTTAGCAAATACAAAACAATAGCAATGAAGGAAGTAATAACATGATTCATAAACAAAACAAAACAAGCTCAGAACAGAAAATTATATGGAACAAAGAAATCAGCAACACCACAAAAAAACACATAACAAAATGACAGCAACCAATACACACTTGTTGATAATAACACTGAATGTCAACGGACTAAATGCACCAATCAAGAGATGGAGAGTTGCAGACTGAATAAGAAAACATAACCCATCAATATGCTATCTACAAGAGACCCACCTTAGAGACAAAGACAAAAATAGACTAAAAATTAAAGGTTGGAAAAACATATATCCAAGCAAATTACAACCATAAAAAAGCAGGAGTGGCAACATT